CCTACAGTATTTTTACAGTCTTTATTTTACAGTTAAAATACATGTTTATTAAATAAAGTTTAATGTTAGAACTAATCATGGATCCCTTTAATCCATTGTGCTGCTTTTGTTTTGAAGATATTAATGAAAGCGTAAAGCTCWGTGTAAGCAGAAAGCAATAAAAGCAAAATGTGTTACTCATGTATTTCATTGCAAATACAAAACATAGGTATAAATTCATAATTTTGTTAAAATGGTAGCCATTGGGTATGAAATGGGAGTTTAAGTTGACAGAGGATGAATTAGGCAGCGCTGCACACTAACTGTAGAGGGAAAAACATCCAACTCAGTTTTCACCTGTCTAACCTGAGCCTCTGCCTGAATCAGTGTCGAACAGTGAAGATCACCATTCTGGGCGATGAGGGTGTTCCTGTTCAGGTGGACGGTGAGGCCTGGATCCAGCCACCTGGAGTCATCAAGATCCAGCACAAGAACAGAGCCCAGATGCTGACCAGAGACCGGGTGAGGAGGATGAGATGGGTGGAAACAGATTCAGTAATTATTAAGGTGAAATCCTGTGATGCTCACCTGTCCTCTGCACTATGATTGTCTGCAGGCGTTTGAGAACACACTAAAGTCTTGGGAGGATAAGCTGAAGTATGACAAGCCTCATTTACGACCTCACCTGTACCCTCAGCAGTCTGTGGATCTGGCCACAGAGGAGGAGGCTGTCCTGCTGCAGATGTGTGCCCGAGCTGCTGAGGAGCTCATTACCAGGTGAACAAGTGCTGCCGTCAGGTCTCCCTCTGCTCCTTCCATCCTGAATCAAACCCACTGAGTCTGACATGTAACCACAGGATCTGTGAAGCTGCAAAAACCAACGGGCTTCTGGAGCAGGAGCTGGCTCACGCTGTTAATGCTGCATCTCATGCCATCAACAAAACACACCCCAAGTTCCCCGAGGTGAGTCATCAGCACAGATACAACAACACACTGTGCTTTTCAGCACAGATACAACAACACACTGTGCTTTTCAGCACAGATACAACAACACACTGTGCTTTTCAGCACAGATACAACAACACACGGTGCTTTTTCAAGCAAAATGA